TCATTGATTTATTTAACTTCCGACTAATTAAAAATTTACGTCCGATCCATTGAGTGAGGTGCTTGAGAACGGCCTAAGTTGATACGGAATTTAAAAGCAACTTAAGTCGAATCTAAATTTGATACTATATAATCGATAAATTTAATAGCAACTTAAGCTGTTTTTAAATTCGATACTTTAATAAGTCATGATAAATTGTTTCACTTTTTTATTCTTTGTAACCCAAAGAATTGCTTTCCAAATATTTTAGTAATGAGTCAGCAAATAGGCACATAAAACCTTTATAACATAGATTTTTATTTTTGTATTAAGGTTTACAAGATTCATCAAATACAATAATCTGGCAAAAAATACATTTGCAATATGTGATCTTAAAATACAACTTATTAAAATTTGACTCAAACCTGCTTGTGCTCATTGGGTCTCGATAAGTTTCCAGAATTGAATAGTATTCCTTTAATGCTCATAAGCACTCGAAAAGCGTCTATTATGCAGTCCTCTTCAGAAGTAGATAATATTATTTTTTTTTTATTTTTTTGTCTTATACTGAGCCAAAAATTTTCTAAATACTTACATAGTCCTATAAAATAAACCAGTCGAACTGACAGAACCAAAGCATCAAAAAAGTATTTGATCTCGCCTTTTTCCTGAGTTCTACTAACCTTTGTTATCAACAACTTAAGAAATTTACTTATGTAGTTGTTATTATGCCCAGTATGTGAGTTAGGTCATAACGATAAAGAAGTAGTAGAAAGCTATTATGAAGTTGGACCATACGCATTCCGCTTAGTCCTTGAATTAGGTTCGTTTGTCTTGGTTTAAATTATTTTTAACTAATCCATAAGTTTCTTTTATACATTAAAAAAGATTGAGATTTTTATCTTATCTGTCGTTTATCGTTACAATAAACAAAGCTTTCCTTTGCTAATTGTACGTATGACGTTCAAGAATTTCAACAAGCCCAATATCCTAGATTGAATACATTAAAAAATAATATAAAATTGTAAACAATACGCGCGCAATCAAGCTATTGGAAGAATGAATATGAAAATTCAACCAGCAAAAAGATGATAAAGATATGTTAAATAAATTCAACATCTCTTTTACTTTGGATTTCCATAAAAGGTCAAAACTTTGGGAAACATATTATGACCGAAACTTCATCAGATTTCTGTTCGATTTCTTCACAAACTCAAAACACCCTTATTATAGATAAAGGGTTTCGAGTTTCCATTTTTTTGTAAATAATAATCCTCAAAATCATGCATTATTAAATATCATCACTTGAAGTTTCTTCATAATCTTAACCTGCCTTCGTGAAGTAGAATTTCCATTGAAAAAACCATTCCGATTGCAAACTATTTAGGGATCATGAAGGAGTGGAACGTTAGTTATTTACGCTCCCTTCAGTGTCCTTATCGTTGTCGACATGTGGTTACATCAATAGGCAATTCCAACCAGAACACAGGCAGGAAGATAAAAAATTGCCGCGTATTCTTCCTGCATAATATAGTAATACTTTCTCTGTTACACGATGTTGAAGTAATGTCTCGTGTTTATAACCAATCAAATCATGAATTTGAATTTTGAAAAAAAAATAAAATATCATATAAACCACGACATCATCGTAAAAATGCGTTCATTTACCAACGTAACTCGGCCTTTCTCAGAGCTTAATTATTTATTAAAGTTTCAGAGGCTTCATCTTTCTCAAGATGTTTCCCCTTTCACCAGGGGTTTTTCCTTTCGCCGGAGTTCTGCCATTCGTTCTTCACCGGTTTTAGGTTACGTCTCTCGCCAAATACATAATACTGCATCCGTTCAAAATGATTTGGATGAATATAATAAAATTCTCAACTCTCAGCGCGCTGCCCGACCTCTATCTCCTCATTTGACCATTTATCAACCTCAAATAACATGGTATATGTCCGGTTTTCACAGAGTTACTGGAGGAGTTTTGGCAACTGGTAAGAATTTTAATAAATTAAATAAATTATCCTGTAAAAATATAAACTTATTTAATTCGTTCCGTTAAGCTCTTTATGGAGGTGCTATAGTATACGCTATTCAGGGCCCGTTAGGATTAGGATTAAACACAGATTCGCTTGTCGCTGAAATAGCTACACTTCCAACTTCCCTTAAATTGGCCGGAAAATTCGCTTTTGCTTTTCCATTTACTTATCATACCTTTAATGGTATTAGGCATTTGGTAAGTTTTATTGTTTGCATTTATTAATAAAATATATTCAAAATACTTACATTTTATTATTTCACCGGAAGATCTGGGATACTGGAAGTGCATTAACACTCAAAGGTGTTTATGCTACAGGATATACTGTATTAGGGCTCTCTGCCATTACCACCCTTGGAGTGTGTATGATTTAAACTACTTTCTGATATTAAATGATAATTGTTTTTTTAGTATCAGTTTTAAATTAAGTGCCAGTTTATAATGTTATCGGTAGTAAAGTGTCGCTTAACTAAGAATATAATCATATAGTCATATAATCATATCAGATATAGTCATTTAAATTTATAACCGTTTGATAGATCAATCAATCCGTAGCGATATAATAATATCTAAAATAGTTCTGTAGTTCCAACAAAACCTGCACGTGATAATCGCGAATCTTCTTACGCACACGGGTACGTATTAAAAAGATACACGAATTAATGTTTGATTTTAACGACTAAAGTGATGCGAGATGATATTATGATCAATAAATCAAATTGTATATATAATTTGAAACGGTTAAACCTATCTTAAGATACAAGGCTATCAATAGGTATCTGTGCCTAAAGAATCCTAATAACTAAAGTTTGTAGGGAATTAATTTTGGAGCATTAATAAAAAATGCCGGAGAAGCAATTTTACCTACACCAATAAGGTGATAATAATTCTAATGTTAATAAAACAAACGTTAAATCAAATATCCAAAGCTCGCTCCACTATCCAAAATAATATAGGCGTAACAATTGAGCACAAATATATAGAAAATGAAATTATTCTAGATAGGCTCATTTATATTTATTGAATTAACTTTGGGGTTAGCACTTTATATTAGAGTTAGACTAAGTTAGGTATAGTTATATAATAAAACTAGCTATATATATAGTATTTTTTTTCTATTAGCCACTATAACAGGAATTATTAATAATTTATATAAATTATATAAAATGAAATCTAAATAAATCGTGGATTATTAAAAGTATTTTTTGATATTATATAGAATAATATTAGAAAAGGTATTATATATATCGTAGATAGAAACAGAATTTAAGTTAATTCGGAATTTTTAAAGTTAAGGTTGGAATTTTTAGTATAATTATTCTGGTCTAATCTAACTGGATTCTGAACCTATTATGATTCCATTTCCACTACAATATAATTTATATACTAAAATTTTACAAGTTTTTTATTATTAAGATATAAGAGTATACTTAAGCATTTAATCTTTCGGGATCCTTAAACAGAACCTTTTTGCCATCTCTACTAATATTAAAAGTTTTATTTTGTATTTGCAATACATAATTTAAATTGTTTTTAAGCATCTATTTTTATGGTTAATAAAGTAACCTGATTGGTTGAAAAAATAAATTGTGTTTGATTATTTTAATTAAAAAAACCCAAACCTAACAACTATCTTTTTTTATAAAGTTATTCTAATTGGCTAAAATTTAAAATCTGCATTTTGCACAATGAATTTTTAGCAAAATTATTATAAAATTTTTTTTAATTAATTTTAATTAATCAAAATAATTAAGCAACACATTGATCACTAGCAAATTTTATTAAGAAAGCTTACTTAAGAACAATATAATTAACATATTTACTAGTTAAAAGTGCTTTATAATAAAAAAAAAAAGATCTTTAGATATTGGTTTTTAATCAAAATAATAAATTTATTAAACTTCTTTCTTAATATGATTAGCTAATAATTAAGATTGTATATGGATACTATAATTAATTAAAGTAATCTTTATAGCAATTTTGCTAAAGATTTATATTTTGAAATATAGATATTAAGTTTTAGCCAATTAAGATAACTTTAGAATTTTTTTACAACGTTGCTAAATCACACCACTGGTGTTCAACACTACAATAATGTTTATTATAAGCTGTAGTGTAACATAAAGATCAGGTGTAACGTAGGTTTTTGTTTTTTTAAAAAAAATATAGTATAACTCAAAATTTTATTTATGAAACCACTTTTTAAGCTCTAATAAAAAAAATTCCTTGCAAAATTTTGATATAAACTAAGCTTCTGCCTCATTCTAGCCTTTAACCCTAACCCTAATCTTAATCAAAATTTAATTTTTGTTTTGATAAAAATTATTTTGATTTATACGTT